ACCCATGCAAAAACGTGAAATGAGTCTGAGTACAAGCATTAAGAGCCCGTGGGCACCGTCGAGGGGCTGTGATGCTGTGTTCCTGGATCTGATGTGGTACTTACGGTCTTGAGCTAAAGGCAATCTTAGATCAGCATGTTGTGAGACTTTCCAAGACTGAATACTAGAAAGGAGAATCAACAACAACAAACTCTCCCACAAAGAGCTTCCGCATTAAATACCGGTCCATTATCTCGACTGCAACACTAAATCTGAAAGAGCCAGTCTTAAAGGGGCGAAATAAAGGTGAAGGATGGCTGATTGGTGGATTGGAAGGGTGGGCGTAAGTCAAGAGGCCTCCAGATCTTTTGATCCCTTTCTGACGCATCGATTCCTCATCATTTCCCATGGACCTATGAAGTAAAGCCAATCAATTTTAGTGCACTTTAAAGAATTGTTTCACTCGGTTCTATAAATTGAGGGCAGAGTGAGTCACTGGACCAGTTCTCCAGAACAAACCAAAATCCCATTCACAAATACAACAACTCCACAAAGAGATTAACATATCGAACAGACCAGAATTAGATATGAACCGTGACAAAAATGCCACATAATGTGAAAATAAATTAACAGCTATATATTTAAAATGCCTCAATATACAAGCATCACTGAATGTGTAGCATTATTAGATTTGTTTTATGAAAAAACTTAAATCACCTGAAAATACAGACTAGACAGGCATTTTCTTGTATAAAATATAAATAAATAAATAAATATATATATAAATAAATATATATATATATACACTGAACAAAATTATAAACGCAACACTTGTTTTTGCCCCCATTTTTCATGAGCTGAACTCAAAGATCTAAGACTTTTTCTATGTACACAAAAGGCCTATTTCTCTCAAATATTGTTCACAAATCTGTCTAAAAATCTGTCTGGAAATCGAGATAATCCATTCACCTTACAGTTCACAAATCTGTCTAAAAATCTGTCTGGAAATCGAGATAATCCATTCACCTTACAGGTGTGGCATATCAAGATGCTGATTAGACAGCATGATTATTGCACAGGTGTGCCTTAGGCTGGCCACAATAAAAGGCCACTCTAAAATGTGCCGTTTTACTGTATTGGGGGGGTCCGGGGGGTCCGAAAACCAGTCAGTATCTGGTGTGACCACCATTTGCCTCACGCAGTGCAACACATCTGTTTCGCATAGAGTTGATCAGGTTGTTGATTGTGGCCTGTGGAATGTTGGTCCACTCCTCTTCAAGCGCCGATCACCAAAGGCCCACCACGCCCCTCACTTTTTAGCGTTTAGCGCTAGTGGAGTTTTCCGTAAATTCCATGCATTTCCATTCGTTTTACCAATCAAATGCATTTATTATTTATTTTACTTTTGAACGAACTGTGCACGTAGTCTATCTATCAGGTGATCGTTGCGCCTAATGTCTGCATTTACCTCTCTTCACTTCATTCTGGTGTAATCTAGAAACGGTCAT